GCCAGACTTGGAAAAATAGAGATGACAATTGCGCAACAAGTGTGTGTGGTAGCGGATTGCAATGCTCATAAGAAAGCTAATTATCATATTAGCTTTCATCATGCCCCTAAAGACATTAGTGTCCCAATGCTGAATAGCTCCTATGTTACATGCTTCTTCTACTACACCGGCAATGTTAGGCTGCAAGCTTACGTGAAGACGAGTGTGCAGAGCAGCGCTGTCTCCACCCACGACTAAGAGGTGAATTGCCTTGAAAATGACACAGGTAACACGATTTTTGGTAAAAACTTCATAATCACAATTTAAAGACCACTGATAGCACCTTAAGTAGTAAACACAAATGATTGGAGTGGGACTTTAAATATCCAATTCGTCAGCCCTTTCGCCAAATTTTCCAAGATTCTTTACAGTCTGATATACTGAATTTCAAACTTATCCCTGAGCTACAAAAATAATAGTACGAAGTGACCTTAGCAGGGTCCTGAACTATTGGCCCAGCAGCAGTAATGTGTTACCCATTTGGCCCTTGAGGAATCTTCTTTGGCACTAAACTCATCAGCAGATGTCCAACATGGAACACAATATTTATATTATAAACCATCTGAAAGCCCAGTCAAAATAAAAATGCTCCATTGTCACACCTCAATTAAATGATCATCTCATGTCAACAGAGTTACTGAGTTTTTTCTGGCTGTGTTCTTTCAGTGCACGCCCAACATATGCGCATATTCATAGTGGTGTGCTGTTCTTCTCTGGTTAGCAAGGATGGCAGTTTCAGAGTCAAATTAGGTGAATGAACAGACTTTATTTTTAGTGGAAACACTTGGAGAAATAAACTTAATACAGCTCTTGGAACATTGTGGGTTTGTTTAAATAGTCTACGACAAACTGTGTGAAGCCTCCACACACCAGAATAAGAATGAAGCGATAATGACAAAATACTACTAAATAATTAAAGTGGATCTGATGCCAAGTGCTTTTCATTTTATAGTGAGGCAGAATAACATCTCTAACGTCACTCAGCTGTTCTGACAACATCTGTCGATGCATGTAAACACCAGACCTGAATAAATCACCCTAAATCTAAACACTTGAACTTGTATCTGCAGCCAGAATGATTTCAATAACAATAAAGAAAAATTGACCCTGTAAACAGTTTAGTTATTGAATGTCAGTGGAGTCAGGAAGAAAAACATGAATTTTCCTGCTATTTGGACAAAAAGTCCTCAAGATAGATACAAATGACCCATAGAGAGAGAAATGCACAAAACCAAGAGAGAAAATGAATTATAGGCCTTAGCTGATTATAACAGAGACAGAAAAAAAGGAAATGTTTCTCCTGTCTCATAACAAAAATCTGGGATTCATTAAACTCAATTAGATGACTGTGCAAAAAAACCCCACTGTGTTCTCTTGATGGAGGCTTTTTCAGAGGTTTTGTATACTTCCTCAACAAACAACTTTCTCAGTATCTGAATCATCTCCATCTATTTGTCAGTTTTTCTGATCCGAAAAAGTTTCAGAGGCAGCCACTCCTGTCAGCATTTTTCTTTCTATTTATCTTTGTCTTCCTATATGCAGCGTTCTGCAAGTTTGAGGTACCTGGGAGGTGTGGTGGGTTCCCTTCCTACAATCTCAATTTTATTTTGTATCAAACTACTAAAGCCATGTAATGCGCCAACTTTTTTGCATCTTTATTAGTCCCATAGGGTCACTTTAGGGTGAGGGGTAACACTGTGTATTCACTGCCAGTACATTTGCATGCACAGTTAAGTTGTGCTGCAGTCATAGCTCAATTACGCGTTTTAACTGGAGTATTGTCCTTATCCCAGTTAACAAGCACTGGGCTAGAATCAAATTACTAACAGAGGCATGTCCCCCTCTGTTTTGGTAGGTGGCAACATGCTCCCCTTTGGCTTGTTAATGTGAGGATATCTCTAGGCTGATGTGTTGCATAAAACAGCCGGCAAACACATTTGCAATCGGCTAACGGTACGTCGCTTTTACAGCTCTGTGCCATTTGCAAGGAAAGTTTAGTCTTTTTTTACACCCTTTCTTTGTTAGTCAAGGTTTTGCTCACTACCTGCTTCCTAGCAACACATCCATGTTGTTCAACTACTGGCTCACGCCTGGGCCAGTTTCAGCTTGTATACATTCAAGATAAACCCCATCTGTCCTCAGGTATGATAGTCCAACTATAAGAATTTCAGAGATATCAGTGCGATTTTAGTCAGAGTAATATCTTGACACATTTTTTAAAAATCCAGTTTCAGTCAGAAAATTGCCTGAACACACTGAGTGTAGTTTGACAGTCATCTTTTTTGCTATCTATCTAGTTTCATTCTATAACAAGCAGATTAGCTTGCTAGCTAGCCATGTAGCTCCTATGTAGTCCAGTTTCCTGGGTTTTTATTTTGAAATATTTACTAAGACATTCACATGATTTGACTGTCACTCTACCATATTTCTTTACTGGAGGCCAAATCACTACATAAAAAAAACACTTCTATTTAACAAGAACTGTAGTAACTACTACCTAAACCAAAACCTTGATGAAAGGTTACGTGTATTTGTTTTCTTGCCTTTCAGTTGAATTAGAAAAGGAAAAGTGAGCCACTTCCTCATTGTCTAATCATTTTTATCTGGTCTGGTTTGGAATTATACTCTCATACCCTGAACCGAATTAAACCCTTGGAGGAATTAAAAGATTAAATGACTTACAGATGTTTGCAGTGCTATTAAAGATAACGACAAAACAAAAAAGGAAAACAAACTGACTAAACTTTGTGGAAATTCAAAGTAACTAAACACCTATATTGAAGCAAGTTTAAGGGTGTTTTGAAGGGAGTCAGTAGAGCTCGTTTTTAGGGCAAAAGGCAACAGATAACTCGGGTCTGGATACAAAAAGTTTATCTTGGCGAGTCAGATATTATGAGTTGGAATGTATAAAAGTTTTCCTTTGTATGAGAAAAACATCCAAGATTGTCTCTCTGAGCGGTATGTGAGTGGAACAACAGACCGCACCGCAACCAATTGAAACCAGGCGTCAGTTCCTGTGATGGTGTGATGGACGTCCACCAACAAATGGGAGAAACATTTGGCCACCTTTCCCCCCCAACCCAACCTTAACTGCACCCATCAAATGAGTGAAACACCATCTTGGTCCAGTTTGTATATTTGCCTCTATTTTTACCAGCCAAGTATGTACATAGAGGACTGTTGTGAAGATAAGAAAAAGTGGGGCAGAAGGTTAAGATGTCATATAAATCCTAGTGGACATATGGGATCAATTGTATCTGTTTTTACCTATACTTCAATGCCATTCCTTTTGTCAAAAACAGAGTCGGAGAAATGTTTGCGTCAACTGTTATGCAAGTTTTTTTCTGGTTCTCTCATAACCTTTTGTCAGATTTTCCAAAGCTTTATTTGCAGCTCCTGAGGTAGAGCTCAATTTATTCGTCTTCAGGACTGGCGTCTGGGTTAAAGAGCTGCCAGAGATCATTTTCACATTTTTCCACACATAGCTCCTCAAAATTTTCCACCAACAGCCTACTTAACTTGTACTTGGCTTGGTCCTTGCACACTCTTTGCATTGGTTTTTAAGAAGACAAATATCAGAATCAAGAACTTTCATCAGGTTGACGCTCAGGTGAGTAATTTTCATTACTTTTTATGGTTGATATTCCTGCATGTTCTGCACCTGTTCTCGGTTATTCAAAAAATATGTTTTGAAGATTTCCTCTTTGCATTATGATGATGACACCTTGAATTTTTATGTCAACCTGACTCCAGTTTGCTAAAGAAGCTTCCCCTCCTCCTTCTGCCTTTCTTCCCACTCTGATTCTCCATCTACTCTTTTCTCCCTCTCTCTCCTCCCCCTCTCTCCTTCTTTCTTTCTGTGTTTCTCTCCAGAGACTTCCCAGTTTTTGAACACCACACTGTTCTTACCTACTGGCCCTCTACCCCACGCACACAACGAGAGAGAAGCTCAGGTAAGCTTGCATATGGAGGCATGGATTTGTAATGTCCTGTTTCGTTATTCCTCTTTATTTCTGTTTTCCGGGTGGGATTATAAGCTGACTCTGCAAGACATTGGGGCAGCAGCTAGTGTTGCAACAAAGAATACAGGCAGACTAATGCATGGAGGGAAAATTAGTGTTAAAAGTGAGCTGATTTGCATATTGTTTAAGGGAATCCAACAATTGTATTAAATCGAAATCTTACACGTGTAGTTCCTTTTAGAGCAGCTTTTAAGATCCCTTTGACTTCAGACTTTGGAAGACAATCTGCTGCACTTGGACCCAGTTTCTGTCTGCATTTTTCATGGCTCTGGAATCAATCACTCTGGTTTTGCAGTGTGTGCAGGGTTGATTATGTACAGTCATGATCCCGACTAATTATATATTTGAATTCAGATCCTTTTGTACGCGTTCACTGAGGAACACAAAGAGCAAGAAAATTACATTTCCAAATAGTGTGTTTGCATTTTTTGACACCTGTATTTGTTGGAGATTGGTGAGATATTAATGTGTTTGTATAATGTGCAGATTTGAACATCCATGTCAGATGAGGGGGTTTGCATTGTTGGTTTATGAAGGAATTAATGAAGTTTATAGATGAAGTAGTGCTTGGAAAAATACATTTTGGTTCAAGCTGCAGCTGTACTGGTGTGACTCACTAGAGACAATTGAACCAAGGAATCCAGGACTTGTTGGTTTCCAATCATTCAGCATGAACTCTTGACCGATTATATAATACTTCGCAACAGTCTGGGGTGTGGTGACTTGGTACTTGAAGCAGGGGAGGAGGCTTGATTCAAATCTTTTGAGCAAAGCAGATCAAAATTTCTAGTTTGTTTTTTAAGTTCTCTTTGTCCATCAAAGGCTCATTTTATTTTAAGTTTTAATTGAAGTGATAAGTTTGGGAGCTGATGACCCATACAGCCATTCTAACTTGTCCTCTCTTCTCTTTTCCCTCATTTTGTCAGATTTCCCGAAGCCATGTTTCCTCTCCGTATACCCCTGCTGGCCATATTGGTCAATGTGGCACTGTGCCAGTACGATTACTACGATTACCAGCCTGCTTCCATGCTAGGACCTTCTGGGCCCAACTGTAATGAAGAATGTGACTGCCCAGTAACCTTCCCCAGTGCCATGTATTGCGACAGCCGCAAGCTCAAAAAAGTTCCTTTTGTCCCCACGGGGATCAAGTACTTGTACCTCCAGAACAACCAAATAGAAGAAATTAAAGCAGGCGTGTTTGACAATGTAACTGATACACTTCGTTGGCTGATACTCGACCGTAACCAAATCACCAATGGTAAAATAGAAAAGGGTACAATTGACAAACTTACAGCCTTGGAGAAACTCTTCTTCAGCTACAACAACCTGACAGAGCCCATCATACCACCCTCAAAGTCTCTTGATGAGCTGAAGATGATGTACAACCAGATGTCCAAGTTCCCCTCTGGCCTCCTGAATGACAAGGAGAATCTGACCTCCATCAACGTCCAGCACAATCTGCTGACATCTGATGCCATTGCTGGGGCATTCAAAGGGCCGAAGAAACTGCTGTCCCTGGACGTGAGCCACAACAAGCTTAAGAAGCTCCCAGCCGGAGTCCCAAGTTCACTGGAAATCCTCTATGCTGACTTCAACGACATTGATGGCATCGGAGCGGGATACCTGAACAAGCTGCCCACCCTGCAGTACCTGAGGGTCTCCAACAACAAGCTGGTTGACTCTGGACTCCCTGCTGGAGTGTTCAATGTGACGTCACTGTTGGAGCTGGACCTGTCTTTCAACAAACTGCAGTCCATCCCTGAGATCAACGAGCAGCTGGAGCAATTCTACCTCCAGGCCAACGAGATCAACAGTGAGTGACAACTGACTGTCTTACCTTATAGGTGTTTTTAAAGATGCTGATTATACCAACAGTAGAAGAATAGTAGAAGAAACACATTCAAGTTGGGCTTTACCTGGTTTTACTGGACATGGTTTCAGATTAAGTTTTTGACTGGGTTATTGCTTGGACCTAGTTAGGCATATAAATGGGCAAAAGACAGGCCTACCATGTATTTTGGAAACATAGGTTGAGGCATTGGTTAATTCTAGATATTTATGCCCTGTTTTGGAGCCAATTAAGGGCCCTTTAGCATTCAATCTGGGTTTAGTCATATGAGGGCCTCCATGTAAAGTATTTACCAAACGTCCAATTGGGTGTCCCATGTAAGCCATCTGTGGTCTGTGGATGACATGCCAGAACAAAGTGTCAAACTGTTGAGTGTGTTAACATTTAAATTCAACAACTGTAAAGCTTACTTTTCATATATTTCTAATCAGGTCTTGTTAATGCTAGCTACAATTGCACATTCATCACTTTCTATGTTTGACCACTGTGACTACCAATTGTCAACCAGCAGAATAGAATAAAACAGCGGAAACCTAACCACTGCTTCTTGGAAATGTCATTCAGAAAAAAAGAAACAAAAAACTACTGAGGGCAGGGGGAGTTCTGTAAGACAACTTTTGTAGTCTTACAGTAATAAGATGAGTGTGGCTGTAATGGACACAGGCCCTTAATTCTTATTGTTGAAGAACCATAAAAAAAATTGGGTTTGCCTTACTTCAAAATTATTTAACTTTTTCTCCATTTTTAATTCTTTGCAGAGTTTGACCTGTCAAGTTTCTGTAAGTATGTTGGACCCGTCAACTATTCCCGTCTGAAGCATCTGCGACTGGACGCCAACAACATCACGCACAGCAGCATGCCTGCTGAATCCTCCAACTGCCTGCGCCAGTGCTCAGATATCATGTTTGAATAAGAACCTTCCTGAATTATGCAACCTTTTAGTAAACCCCTGTTGTCTGCTACCATGGCACCGCTCACCCCATTGCCTTCTGGACTTCAATGTTGTAGTATCCCTCCTTTTACGGTATTCTCATTTCCTTGCACAAAAAAAATCTGGGGTACTACAATGGCACCTTCATCAATTTCCTATTTGTCATAAATAAAAGGGAGAGCAGTGCAAATTTTAGAGATATCTGATAAAAATTCTGTGAATCTTTTTTTTTACACTTTGCACAACATGAAATCAGACTCAGTCAGCAGGAGTTAAGTATGAATCAGTAATCTTGTGTTGAGATAAAAATGAAGGCAAAAAATAAGAAAAATAAATAAAATAAGAAAATATCTTTTAAAAATGTCATATAGATTCAAATTAATCCATAAGTGCGGATTAAAACACACACTTTTACATTCCAAACTTGCATTTGATATGAACAATGAAGTAAACAACAGCTTCAGTGTCTTGTATTCACTTGTAGTGTTATTTTGTTGTTTGTCTTATATGTTCAAATGTTTTGCGAATAATGTGGGTACAATTTATAATCCATTGCTGTGCAAAGGACCAGCATAAACTGACTGCATACTCAGATTTCAGTGTAAAGTACATTATGGGGGAAGGCAGTTACAGAGAAGTCATCGTTTTACATCCTGACTGAAACAAAAATAAATAGTAAAGTACCAATGTTATTTATTCATGTGGACAATTTCCCTCCTTATATAAATTTTTTGATGCAAGTAACATCCTAGACATCCTTGATTCATGATTTCCACGATTCCTTGATCTACTAAGTAAAAGCCCTACAAACTATTTTCTTGGAAATAACATACAAGTTTCCTAAGTTTAGGTAGGACTTCATTTTTTTCTGAATATCTTTGAGTTAAAAATGTAAAAATAAATGACACATGGTTAACAAGCATTGGTATGTCTATTGAAGTTACTTTACTGAGCAACCTTGAGTTAAATGATAATGTTTTTTGAAATCGTGAGTCAAATTGTGTCTTTTATGTAACCTAACTCCTAGCTGTCCACTGTCATGCGCTTGGCGATTTGTATACAACACCTGCATTACTTGCATGCAACCAATGGTACCATTCTTTGATAATAAACTACAGCTTTTGCAGTTGAGGTGCTTTCATTGTTACATTGTTGTTTACCATGTTTGACACATGCTTTTTACCAATACGACGTCTACTTGGCAGCAGTGTCAGGTTATGTTGATAGAATATCACATTTTGTTTTGGTCATTTTTTCGTTCTATGGTGATTTCTTTTGTGGTATTTTGACTAAGTAACTGCTCTGGATTTACTGTGAGGAAAACAAACACAGTTGAATAAACTATATTTACAACATATTTGTATGATATTGCTTTTTAAGCCTGCTGGAGTTAATATCTGGGGTGTACTGAAACAAAGATCAATCCATCCTAATTTAGGTACCCCAAAATCTTTTTGAAGAATTACCCTCCAAGTTGTCTCCTGTACCATTTTTAAACAATAAATTTATTACAAGGAGTTTATACTTTGGAGTTACATTTGGACTTTAAGACAAGGTTGGTTTTACTGATGTATTAAGTCTTATAACTTTGACAACATAAAGAAACAAATTAATGGTGTCTTTTATGGTGAAGTTATCATCTTGTGGTTATCTTGGCAAAACAGTATTAAGAGTAAGATTTGTCCACCATTATTCAAGTTAAATAAACAGTGACATAAATTTAAATGTAACATTAGGAATACCTGTTATGTGGTGCCACACCATGACCAAGGGGTAGGAGAAAAATACATAGTTCATTTTTATTATTTATCAATAATGTTAAATTAAAGGTAAATTTGCTATAAAAAGGACAATATTTAGGGATACCTAGCAGTAAGAGTCCCTTCTCACCCCTGTTTCATAAAAACATCTCAAATGTAGAGGTTAAGATACATTCAACTTGAAAAAAAACACGTTTCATTCTGCTGTAATTTTTGTACACTTATTAAAAAACACATACAAAAATTAAATACTATATTGATCAAGTCTTTTCTGCCAAATGTACTTTCATACTACACTTTGTACCTTTAAGAAATACAAAGAAGTGCTTGTACAAAATATCCAATAATTATCCATTTGATGTGCAGTTATTGAAAGTTAATTCTAAAAATTCACTGCCATCCAGTGATTCCAGGTTAATGCTTCATTCAAGCTCTTAAGAGCTTTCTGTCAGATCCTGTTTGTGTGAAACTATTGCCCACTATTGTGCTAAGGCATGAGTGGTCACAACAAATCCACCTGAAAACAACTCTGAGTATTTTCCAGTGTTGACCAGCAGTCGATTGCCGCCCACTTTGCAAGCGCTGTAGCTAACTTCTTGGTTTTAGTTTCATAAAAATTGTCAGTGGCCATTTGCATACTCTAAAATAGCATCTCTGACATGCAGTTGCCTGCTGTCATCAGTCTGATTAGCTGCGCCTGTATGCTTTTCTGGTTGGAGGTCGCTTAAACTGAGTACTTTAGTGGAATTTTCATTTTGATGGACACAGAGTTCAAATTAGTTTTAACTTGCCAACTAAGCAGTCCAGGAGTGTTTCAAAGTGAAGTACGCCATTCAAGAACAGTTATTTTCCATTTTGGCTGTGGTGTGCAAAAAGGTACAAAATGCTAGGATTCATTCCTACATGGGAATCAGCGTGTCATTGCTGACAGACTTGACAATTATGATTGGACATAATGAGTTGCAGATTATTTCTTATTTTGCACAGTGTGCTCACATTCTTTCACAGCTATCATCTTCTTCTCAGGCCCAAAACTTTGGGATAAAGTCATAATATTTCCCCTGAAAAATACAGTTTGTGAGATGAATGGAAAATTCATTTATCTTGGAGGGCCTGTTATAGTGTCCCAGATACACTGTTTACACTCTTTGCCAAACTGTTTTCAAAGAAACATACATTGTGGTTGAAATCTGAATCTTGAAACTCCCAGGTTTCCCTTTGTGTGTCTCTTAAATCAGTGGTCAGTTTGTCTTATGTGTCAATGTAGCAGCAGAATGGAGATAAAACGTTGGTCCTGGAGGGATGCAGGGGTTGCAAGGTTTTGCTTAATACTGCAAGTTGAAAATATTTTCAGTGCAAACCTAGCCCTCCAACTGTCTCAGACAGCAACCACAAGTGTCCCATGACAATTTGAAACTACTTTAATAGTAAAGCTTCCCATGGAGGCCCAGTAAAAACAAGGAGACAGAACTCTCCTGTAGCGTACAGTTTCCATTGAGACCAGTTTTAGTCTGCATATTTGGCTTGTCATCGGATCCTCTGTGCGCTCACTGCCAGTAACTTGTGGTCAAGGCTGATAAAATTTTTGTCATTTCTCTAAAACCCTTCATCTAAAGTCCTTTTTGCTGCAAACACTGAGGATTTTTGAGGGTGATTCATGCAGGTTCTCCAGATTCTGCTGTTAAAAACAAGCTAAACATTTGTTTCACAAATGTTTCACAAATGTTTCCCATCTCAGTGGTCCACTTCAAAACAACCTACAGAAAAATAAGATGTATGGGAAAGTTTTTAGCTCCTCCATGAGGCGGAGGTTATGTAGTCTTCTGATTGAAGAAGTCCAAGAAATGTGTTTTATGATGAGCCAAAGGGAGTCAAGACAGCGCATACCTTTTTGTTACTGCACCACCTGTACAAGGATTTACCAGGAAGCTAAGTAAAGCTGAATTTTTGTTGTAATAAATCAGATTGGAATGATGAACCATCTATGGATCAGAAGATTTGGCAGGTTATTTAACATTTATACTCTTGATTTGAAAATGTTGAAAAAGTCAGCTGACAAACTGATGGGGTATGTCCAATCTTTTAACCATCCATGCTCCAAACAAACCAAAAAACTGAACTAATTTGAGTTTAAATCAACAGAAACAGACACTGAATTAGTATGAAAGGTTTGCTATTCATTGTTATCTAAGGTGGTCCAAGGAGGATCAGTGTCCATAAACATTTCTCAGCATTTACAGTCAATGGTGTGTTGAAATCATACAGCTTGGAATAATTCAACTCTAGTCTTTCTCAGCCCTTTCCAGGGTTCATGTACGACATTAAACCATCTCTTTCCTTTACAGTATCACCAGAGCAAACTGTAACAACAACCTTCATCCTGGCTGCTGTGTACCACATGTGCTGGAAACTCTTTCTTTAGAAGTTATTAGTCCAGAGCTCCTCATTAGACACTATTTAAAGACGGTAGGTAAGTTGATTAGAAATTCATGGTCTTTATGTAAAAAGCTTCCAGATGTCTTATCCCTGCTAGGTGTTTGTAATGAACTCCAGCTGTTCAGTTCAGTTAAACTAAAATTCGACCCACTTAGCGTATGAATGAAAGACCAACATGCCCGTCTATCGGTAGGTACTGGGAGGTACTTTAAATACCTTTCAAGCTTTCCCATGATATCCAACACTGTTCATGAGGTAAAAATATTAGCAGTTAACATCTTACATGTTTGTTTTAACAGCTTTTACATATTTTACGTGTTTTTTTACAGTCATTCATACTGATTCCCAATCTAAGACAATTTCCTCTACTTCCCCCTGTGTCTGCCTTATTCAGATCCTCACTGGAGCTCCTGCTGCCTGTGTCTAGACAATAAAGTCCTTTATAAAGCCTTAAGCCTCACATCCTCCAGCGTCAGACGCTAAGTGAAAGTATAATCAGCTGTAGCAGCCTCCAAAGATCATCCAAACTGACTCCAGCTGTTTTGCCTCTTCACCTCAGTCATTATTCATTTTTTTATCCATTTTATGCCACCCTCATCTTGTCTCCAACTTTTTCTCTACAGGAAAACCAAATCCTACTTTTCAGCCGTCTCCTAATTGTTGATCTTACTTCTTTCACCTCAGTCTCTCTCTATCTCTTGTACATTTCTCTTTTTCTCACCCGTGTTCCCAAAAGTAGAGACGTGGGCTCCAGATGTCCCATCTGTGGCCTCAGTACAAACACGC